CAATTTTCTCTTTAACTTTTCTTCCAATGTATCTTTGAAGATCCAACTTTTCCATTACATCATCTATAATTAGAGGAGCAGAAGCAGCATACTTTGCCGCTCGATCAGCGTACTCATTTCCCAGTAAACCGATGTGACTTGGTAACCATAACATTTTAATTTTTCTAATAAATCAAGACTGATGTATATTTTATGTGCATTAAGCATTATTTACTTATTGGTCTTTAAGAGGTTATATCAAAAAATAGAGTTTTTCGTAGTAAATTTAAATTAGCAAAAATTTCTAATAGAATACGAAAACTTATGTGGCAATAAATGAGCACTAAGTTTATATCTTTACGACACTGAGGTTGTGTTTGTATCCTCTCACTTAGGCAGGCATGTCGAGACTTTGAAAGATAATAGAACATTCACGGATTTCCAAGAAGCTTTCAACAATCACAAAAATGCAAGGGTACTGTTCATTATAGATATAATATTCCGAAGGGTTATTACGAGTAACGATGATTGCCATTTTCACTTTAGCTTTAGTCATAGCGTGCATTAAATGAATTAAGGTACAGGCAATTCTAACTGTAAAGGAAATGCTCTAGTTGCTGCTTTGTATTGTTTTGACGACGAAGTAGCCATATTCCATACCATGATTTAGGTTTCCTTTCTCGGCTTGATATGGTTTCAGCAAATCGACACATGTACTATCTTTAAGCTCAGTTTCCATTAAATGCAGAACTTTTTCCTTAAAGATAAGCCAACGATATTGATATGTTGACATTGTGATAGGGTAGATTTATGCAAAGTCTATGGCAAACTAAGAACAGAAAAGAAGTTTAACACTAAAGCTACCGACATTTCATGTATACCTATCTCTACCATGAGCGGTCAAATGACCGCGTCAAAAAAACATATGTAAAGTAGATAGTAAACAAAATATTTTTCTGATGCTACATTAAAAACTCGTTCCCCGCTTTTCGATGTTGTATGTTTTATTTACTTTTATGCATTTTCATCACATTTTTTACAAATTACAGCATTTTGTGTTGCACATTTTCCACATACGTATTTTTTACATTTTATACAAATTTTGTTTGTTTTGTTGACTTTACAATATCTTATTTGACAAGATCTCCGGTCAGAAGAAGCAGTGTTTGTGTTTATTATTGTTTTTGATGAGCATTCTTGGCTTATCTGTTTCTCTTTCTGATATTCGGTCCCAAGTTCTTCTGCCAACTGAACTAAAAACCCTTGCCTCGATATTTCCTCACCCGTCGCTTCTTTATATAAAATCCAAGAGTTTATCCCGGCTAAATCTAAGATATTGAAAAAGACCTGTAAAGGCCATCTTTGACATTTAGATTTTACACTATATTTTCTGGCTATTTGGTCGGTTACATCTACACCGAATTTTGTACTATTATAAAATCTAATTGTCTCTGGTGTACGGGTGTCATTTTTTTTCAATTTCAACGGATGAATGCATTGAACTAAGTATCAATACTTTTTTATTCGGTTTAGCTTTATAAATTGTAAGAATAAAATCTTTCGGTTTTCATAATATTGTTGAGAAGCGTGTCATACTATCCTTTGCCTGTCTCGCTAATTTTGGTAGCTCTCTTTTATTTCTCCGGATAGTTCCAACAAGAGTAGTTCTTTTTGCTAGAAGTGTACTCGCTAATGATGCGCTTGTAAAAAAATTGTCAACTGTTATATTTCTCCCATGGCCTGTATATGGTTCTGCCAATTTCAAAGTTACAAACCCTCCAAGTGGGATTGATGATTCTCTCCCTTCATCTTTTCCCAAATATGGAAACCCGTTTACTATATATTTACTATTTACATCGGAAGCCAGAATTTTATGCCAAATTTGTCCGGTTTGTTGGGCATATATTGAGTAAATCTACAACGTGCTTCTGTAGGAAACAATTGCTCATCTATAGTAAGATATGCTCCTGGTTTATAACAGTTTTGATTATAACAGTTTTGAAATTTATACCAAACTTGGGAAATCAATGCGAACTTATCGTCTTGTAAGCGTTGGCTTGTTCTTCTTTACTATCGTACAAAAAACGCTATGTTCTTTGTTCCAATAACAACCATAAAAATTCTAACCGCATCCGTCTAACCGTCCTAACCGCCTACATTGCAGACACATTGATTAGATTCTAGTCTAAAATTACATTGCAGACTCCTAAAACAATTTCAAGAACGCGATTATCGAAGAATATAGTTTTAAATAACATAAATTTTTCAACCGGTCAAATGGCCGCGCCCGGTCGACTAGACATGGTATAATTTTTTTTCGGAAAATACACATTAAAAAAAGTTGTAAATATTGAAAAATAGTTTGTATGTATATTTTAGGAAAAGTCAATAAGATACATGATGATACAATAACGTTTTATGCGAGAAATTTTAAACGAAAGCTTAAAAACGGTCATTTGACCGCGCGTGGTACGTTTAGTGTTAAGTCTTTTGTTACGTAGGTAATGATTTTGATAGTTATCCTTGTACCAATTTGTAACGCCTCCGTAATTTATACGAAGGCCAGCTGTCCAAGAACTCTCTGACACTCTCCAAATCATTTGCTTTTAATTATTTATTCTGCAAATTTCTATAACTGAAAGTGTCATCCAACATACCCATAACTTCATTAAAGTCTTCACATTTGGCTGAGAATTGCATTTCGTAATGCGGTACGATGCTAGGCGCCCTAATTAAAATAAACCGTAACAATTATTATACTATGCTTATGCTAGCGATGAGGTATTTGTAAAATTTCTTATAAATAGCTATCCCAACACTTGATAAATTCAATTGTCGTAAAGCAATACAAAAAGCATTTAATTCTCTAAAACTTAAAAAGGAATTCCATCCGCCTGACATATTAGCCAGGGACTGCTTCCAGGCGATCTTACTATTGGCACTAAAAGAAGTAGATTGATTTGGCGGACTGAAGCCGAGCAGTATAGGCAAGTATTCCACGACAACACTCTGGTCATATATGAATAAAGATTGATAAGGAAAATTTCCAACACTAAATAAACAATTTTAAAAGCAGACAAAATCATATTTACAATTTACTAGTTTTGTGTATTGTGATCAAATGCTGTGTTCATGAAGTGATGTGCATTACACAGCATTCATAAAACTACAATTTTCTCCTTACACAAAATTCTCATCCTGGATTTGTTAACATTTCGTTTTCTAGTACTGGTTAACTCGTAACAATATTCAAAGAAAACTTTATCCAGTTTAAGTTTCCTAATAATCGTAAGTTAATTTTGCAAAAATACGACGAAGTCTTTGATAATAATACGCGTAGCTGGTGCAAGTTCCCGACTCAAAGGACTAGACTATTGCTCAATAAATTCCAAAAATGACAGAGATTTGGCATGACTATTGAAGAATCCATTCCATATTTAGACAGTGCCAATCTTCAAAGGCAATATGTCGATTAGTATACAAGTTACATTTATTCTCACGACATTACACATAAAACTTAGAACGGAGTTGAGGAAAATTAAATCAGGAACCTTGCTAGAAATTTGCAGTCCTGTTACAACATTATCTACGAAATAAAAAAAAGCTATATATAAAACATGATGTCAGCTCTGCTACTCTCTTACTTTCCATCTTGAATGCATGGGACTTATATACATAAATATAACATTGGCCCCTTACATTTCAATATTTCTATTTAGGTTACAACGTTATCAATTAAATAAATGAAGTCAATGACTTGTTTATCAAACATCGTATGGGCTTTATTTTATCGCTCACTTTTCAGCGGAGAGTATCCCCCCCTACGTGAGGTATTTATATGATGAATATGATTGTCTTTAATTTAAACTAATATGTTTTTTGGAATTTTTTTCGATGTTTTGTTAAAAAAGTACATTCATGGCATACATAGTATACATATTTACAAATAAAATTTATTTTTGCAGCCGGCAAGACAAATCCGATGGGAATCATTATGGTTTATACAACTTTCCGGAATTTGCCCTTCTAAATAATCTTTCGGACCGTTCCAACCACAGCAAGAGTACTAAACAAAAAGCATAAAAGAAAAAGCTTAGTTTAGATCACCAGCTTTTACGAAACTTGTACCGTGAACTTATGATTTGAACATAAATCCGTTTAAACAATGGAAATGTAATTTAAATAAATGTTAAATATACATTTAAACGAGATACACAATTTTTCTATTTTTGGCAACGAAAATGTCAATTACAATGTTTTCCATTTATATGCGCTTATCAGGATACTATGTTCATTCACAAACTCTACTCACGAGAATACTATTGTAATTTACAGAGAACAGCGCGTGAAGTGAAATCAAATGTGCTATCTTTTAAGCTTGTTTGCCAATGTTTCACACAGCCATCTTTTCGAGTTATATTCCCATTAAACTTATTTTCCCGACGCTGTAAGCGTAAATGTAATAATAATGGCTTAGTGCTTACCGTTCTTTGCACGTAGTCGATAAGTTTGCTTGCAAACACCTCTCCTTCATTTTCAAAAACGATTTCGAGTACATCACTCAGAGTGTGTCTGAGTGAAATGGCTGCACGGCACGCGTAAAACAGCATTAACGCAACAATGGTCTATAAATAAATTAGTTTATCAAATATCTTTATTTCCACAACGTATTCGCTTAAATTTTACCAAAAAGCAAGTTTTGGATGTGATCGTATGACTTCTATCCAGGTTTAAAACATAATAAATAGCTAGCATGGAAAACATACCGATACTGACAATATAAACCGTGTTGAGCAAATCAGGGTTTGAATGGAGTAAGACGAAAATAGCGAGAATCATAACCACATTGAGCTAAAATATATAAGCAAATGTATTAATATTGGGAATAAATCGGTAAAATAAAAAATAGAAATTGTAAAAAGAACATTTACCTGCTTAAGGGTTATTCTCCTCACACAATTGCTGTAGGTGCGTTCTAATGAGTCCATATTAGAGTATATATTGTGTAAATAAACCGATTGCGTTTCTATCACTTTACTGACCCGTTCTCACAATATGCGCTTGAATATATAGAATTAAAAGAATTAAAAGCTTCTTTTTAACATGTACAATTTCGTAAGTTTCTCTTCAGTTTGTCTATAGGTTTGTCCATTACCACATCTACCGACAACAATGCTGTCCAGCAACTGCCTGAATCGATTCATTTCAACATAGTCTGTGCATACATTGCATCTCATACATTGCATCATATGAATGAATTTCAAATGATCCGATCCAAGTCGATTATAAATTTTGTTGTCTCTTACTCTCTTCATTCTTATTCCCATTATTACGCTTTACAATGTTTTAAAGCAAAATTTAAAGCATTAAATTTTTCTTTTTGTTTTTCACATTTTGTAAACGTGAACGTAAAAAAATGTTTTACAGAATCTGGATAGTTGTTGAAATCAACCAAAATCCATGTTTATGCCTTACCTTTTAATAATTCCGGACGAATATTTTATGACACCTGATTCACTAAATTCATGTAAGGTATTAAAATTTCTGTCTAAACCGAATTGTATTCTTTTCTATCCAAGCAACCATATCGCTTGCAAAGCTCTCTAACCGGGGAAGTACCGTATTTGAAATAACGCTTTCATAGGTTTTGTATGTTTGTATTGATGAAGCATTGTTGTAGATATCGCTTATCATCAGACATTGGCCTTTTTTATGTGCGTGTGTATTATACAAAAGCTAAAGCTTATAATGGTAAACTTTTCATACCCTCTTCTTCTTAATTTCCTGTCTAACCAAAAAAAAAAAAACGCTTATTTTTGTTTAAACGTCTTATTGTTCTTTTTTTTTAAAAGCTGCATCAGTCCCAAATTGGCTGCATCTGAGAGTAATTCAAAGAGCCCGGTGTTTTCATCTTACATAGTACTGTAGACGTGTCCTTCGACCGATTTGGGTCATTGCCAATCGGCATATAAGAACTTCCAATGTTTCTGCCGCATTCGAAGTCGCATGCCTAAATTGATTGAGAATTTGATGCTAATCAAGAACATATATACACTTTGCATGCGTTTTGACAAACTGAATATATCCCTCGTTCTTCGGTCATGGGTGTAATGAATGCAATGTAATGGAAAATGTCCATATTTACTCGTTTTATGTATTCGTTCAGTTTTGGTTTTTGGAGAGAGAGAGAAAGAGAGAGAGGGAGAGAGAGAGAGAGAGAGAGAGAGAGAGAGAGAGAGAGAGAGAGAGAGAAACAGCCGCTCGCACTAACAGTCTCTCTCGCTATTCGTGTTCGAAAGCAAGGGAAGACATTAAACAACTCACACAAAATGATAAAATTAAACAACTCAAATTTGACTAACTCACACAAAATGATAAGAATTTAAATTGGAATTCACTCACACGACCATCATGAACAAAAATCAAACGAACAGTTTCTCAGAATTTCCAAAAATCAAACGAACAATCAGAATTTCCAAAAATCAAACGGCAGATCTCTCAAAATGAACAAAAACCACTTAGGATGCGTATGAGAAAAAACACATATGTTTTTTGATAGAAGTAAACAAAAGCTGGTAGTAAGGGATCTTCTTTGACCTTTTAATAATCAATTTCTTAATCTCATACTAACAGGACCATTTCCTCTGCGATACATTGTTAATGATAAGTGAGTGAGAGAAAATAGCAACTTAATAAACTGTTGAAGATTTTTATAATTTATTTTATTCATTTTTATAACTATGAACACACATACATAAAAGAAGGGCAAAAAAAGGAAAACATTATAAGTAATTTAAATAAAATAATAACTTATTTATTTTATTTTAAGTTTATATACATTTATTTAATATAAAATGAAAATAATTTTTCTAATCTTTAACTTGAACTTTATACTTCTTTAATTGGATAATTTCTTGAGATAATTGAATAATCAATATTTTCTAAGTGCATGTTAGATGTTAATTCAACTACAACCTTATTATTTAGATCAATTTAGTATACCTTGATTTCATTCATGATAAAGCCCTAGTAATAAAATAATAATGAAAATAATAGAGGAAATAGTTCAGCAAAGAAGGTTTGAAGTTTTTATATATAATAATAACAATAATAGGTAAAACATTTCTACATCAAAAATTAAAAAAAATAATTGTAATTAAAAAAAATCGTAGAGACAAGGGGCTTCGAAAGGAAGATTTAGGATCGAAGCCACATTATTAATTAAATTATTAGGAAGAAGTGCAGATTGTTGTCTTTGAAATGTTACGAATCATCTTTGGAAGATTTAAAGCCGAATGCCCGACGTGGGTCTGTTTACATTCAAATTGTTTTGAATTCTCTTGAGTAGGAGCTCATTCACAGGAACCCACTGTAGCAACCAAAGACACGTTAAAGTCTTCCATTCATAATAAAATGGGAGCAAAATCAAAACCAAAGACATTGAATGTATTTATTAAATTATAATATAACACTAAAAATTTCTGATGTTTTCTTTTGGATCTAATGACAACAAGCGATTTTTACGAATCATTGTTGGAACATATAAAGCCCAATGCCCGACGTCGATCTGTTTACATTTAAATGAATTATCTTGAGTAGGAAACCATTCACTTAATACGATGTCGCTTCCCACGTCTCCACTCTCTTCTTGGTTCGAGAAGAAATCAATTTAAACCAAATTGTTCAATTTATGTAAGTTGATGGACGATAATATCCGCAAATAACGTAGTCTTTTAATAATTGTTCAAGTATTTGTATAAAAATTGCCTACATCTGAGAATAAGCATATATGATTCTCTCCTTCTTCTTTCCTGCTTGTTAAAGATGTCTTAAAAGCTTTTTTCTCAGACAACGTGCTTTGCTTTTTAGAAATAATAATATATTCTACAAACCGCTAACTTGCATGAATTATAATCAAAATATATTCTACAAACCGCTAACTTGCATGAATTATAATCAAAATCACACTAGCCACTACAATGCTATTCTATAAGATTAGACAAATCGAGCATAAAGAAATTCGAAAAATGGTTGAAAAATTGGTTGCTTAGGAACGTATGCATTTTTTTCGGTTTCTCAGTTTAAATTTAGTTTTTGTTTCAGTATTCTCTCAGTTCAGTGAGTCGAAGGAAGAAAAATCCTATTGCTGAGAGTAAAATTTATTGTACCTTCAAATATGATAAACGTATACGCGACCTAAACTTATTTAATTTTACAAGTCAGCCTAAAATTAGACCGCGATAATTTTTATTATTAAATTAAACAAAGCCGTTGCTAAATTCCCTGTTGGAAGGCAAAGCACAGAGTCGCTTATAATAAATAAATGGTTAAATGCCCAACTTAACAACTTAAATGGTAACGCCATTCAGCTATGTTAAAATGATGTTTTTTCATTTATTTATGCGTCACTGTCCTGTAATTTTTATAGCCTATCACTATACTATTTCTAGACTACAATCGCTTAATAAGTACTGGTGTGTTTATTGCACTCTTCTTCATCTCATTTATTATTTCAAATAGAAGTGAAAAAAGGACGTGGCTTTACAAATGGTAGAAAATTGAAAAATATTGGTTTCTCTCTCTACAAAAATTTCTACAAAATTATTCTAATAACGATTTGGTTGATGTATAATTACCAGGCGTTCTTGAGAACTGAAAACATAAAATTTTTCACATCTTTTCCTAAATAATTTAATTTTTTTTTGGGGAAAACAGCTGATTGTGGTATTGCGCAACCAAATGGTTGTTTATAAATTGAAAATAAACCGAGACGCAACCAAATAATTGTGTGTATGTGTGCGAGAGAATTCGCAATACAATGTTACTAACATTCTGTTAGACTGTTAAAATCATGAGAAGAGAATTGAAATGAGAGAACAACGCGGTCATTGTTACCATATAAATCAGAGCAGCTTTATTTATATTTATGGATTGATTATAATCTAAGCAGAGTTCTGAGCACGTTGAAATAGTGAGGAGAAGCGAAAGCATGAGTACGTTGTGTGGATTGGGGAAGAACAAGAAGTGGATACTGGTTTTCGAACAAGATCATTATCAGCGATAGAGTTCATTTCCATCTTCATGGCTTCGCTAGTCGACAGCGCAGATTTTGAGCTCGATGTATCGTCGGACTTTCCTTCTTTGAAAACGTAAGACGCCAGATAATAATTACTAGTCTACGTTTCGAAAGCCTCCGTGTAAATGGCATCCATCAGTTGCAATTGATAACTTTCGACGCCGTCAAATTTAAATTGCTTTCGCCAGAAATCACGACATTCCGTAGCAGGCATGCCCAATTCTATCATTTTTTTGGAATTATGTTATTGAATTTTTGAATTATGTTATTGAATTTTTGAATTATGTTATTGAAATTGGAATTATGAGAGAGTAT